ATTTTCACTGTGATTAGAAGTACTTAGTTTGGCATTTGTGTATTCCCCATATTCATGCTTGTTCCACATGTCTGCTGTTGAACTGGGAGACCACTGGAACAGAGACCATCTGAACTATGTGCCCACAAATCAGCTAGCACACTTTGCTACACTTTGTAGTTTATGTAAAATATTGGTTTATAAGGTATGATATGGTAAGGTATATACCCCCAGCCATTTCATTTTAGAACCTGTGCTTAAACATCCACATTCAAAATATTTGTTTCCTAGCATGGTAAACACAAATTGTCATTCCAGGTGGCTATTTGAACTCAAAGTGTCTGATGGATGGGACCAACCAGATTGAATACAAAATACAGGAAGAAAGGCTGACTCTCTGACAAAAGAGACCAGGACAATCATACTTTTTCATTCACTTATATTGAAAAAAAAAAAGAGAAAAGGTATAGTCACAGAGAGACAACATGGAGAAACTACAGATTATGGCAACTTTGTGGAATGCTCTCCACACTGAATTTGGCTGGGAGGTCTTTTGTTTTCACATGAAAAGTCAGCTAGAGTCCAACAATATCATGGATGTACATGCCTAAAATAGAAGTGATTTCAACAGAGTGTATCACATTATTTTCTTTCACATGTCCCTATGAAAAACAAAGCAGATAAGTCTTCTATTTAGAGTGTTTTCATCCACTAGCATTAAGGAATAATTTTCAAGAGAACTCATTTTTAGTAAAAATTTCACCGTTATGTAAGTTTTCAGCAATGATGGTACATACCACATAGTCTATTGAAAAGAACTAGAGAAATAAGAAACATTTTGGCATGTTATAAAAACCCATTAACCTGCAAACGTGAGACAGCTGCATAAAACAATTTTAAATCTATAAGCTACTATTAGTATAATACAAATATAGATTTTTACTCTGGAATAAATGAGTATATCCTGAATATCTAATAATGGAAAGACTGACAGGAAACACACTGATTCCAAAACAAAATTTCCAATGAATTAAAACTGTGTAACAGCAATCACTATACATACTAGCAAAGCAATACAAAACAGTCTACCAATATGTCATGTCTGCACAGATGCTTCTTAATTTATAAAAAAATAAAGCACTGACTTTTTATTTCCTTTGATATTCCTTTGGAGATATTACATTAAAGAAAATGTTGGCTATGCCTCTGTGGATCTCTGAAAATAGTAGATATTCTGCTTATTTGGATTTCTTACTATTTCAGGAGGGAGAAAGAGGAAGGACAGGGATAGAAAATGTTTGTAATATCTAGTTTTGGTATAGCTGTATGCTAGAATGCAATCTATTCATTTATATTTGTTTTCCATTCTGTTTTGCTCATTAGAAAAAAAAAATCAACAAAACACATCCTAAATATTGTATAGGAGAACCTTATAAAAATAGGTTCAAAAATGCATTTAAAAAAAATTATTGCTTATGAAGTCTCAGTATCAAGAAACAATGTACAAAACTTGTCTTTGCAACCCTCTGGCTTTGAATGACAAAGAGTGGTGAATAACTAATAGGCTAGCTGCAAAACAGGATTTGGGTGCTGAAGAGCAGCACTGACAGTTCCTACGATTTCAAATGGCAAAACTGGCCTGACTCAATTGCTCACACATCCCCGGAGCTGACACAAAGTGTGAAGCACACGGTATGATTTTACAGAAACTAACAGCAAGACAGGCAGTATCAACTCTCTACTTCAAGGTACAGAGTAAATGATAATGGAGAGGAACTAAAGGTAAGGATGGAAGTTGGGCCAAGTAGAAAGAAGAAAAGGCAGACATTCCTAGAGAAAGAAATGAATAAATTTGCACATAATTCCTGGGGTTCCCTCTAGGCAAGGTACCCAGTGCTCAGTCGGTATGAGAGCTTAATTCTTATTCTGTAGCATTAACAGTCATGAAGCAAACACTAACATAAAAATCACATTTCATTTGAGAATGATGTGGCAGATGCACACGAGGTTACTCAAGCAAACTCTTCAGAGATGCAGGAACCCCATGTTTCAGGGAACAAGAGAAATATTTTACAAAAAGTATCTAAAACAGAGGGCTTTAGAGAAAATAAAAAGTAAGTATCCATGCAATTAAATGGAATATACACATATTTTTTTTAAAATATAGAATAATACAATATCATACAGGAGAATTAGTTTAGCTAGGGTATTCAGTGTGATACACAGTGGAGTAAAATCATCAGATACAGTAAATTATTTGCAACCAAAGACAAAATGTAAAAGCAGACTGCTGATGGTTTTACAGCATATTTTTTTCTGCTCCTTTACCCAAGAAGCAACATTTTATCGGTCTATTGACATTATATCATTACAGAGACTTTCAAAATGGTCAAACTGCCTACTCCTATTCAATTAGTACAAGCCTACCTATTTCATTATAAATTTAATGTCAGAAAAGAAATCTTGGAAAAGTAAGGTTTATTGTGCTGACCAGGATTATAGTGCTTCTCCCCCTCACAGTAAAGCTGTCTACTACCTGCAGCATTACTACATTTATGGCTGTTATGAAGTACCCTGCCTCTCATTTTTATTGTATTCAGCTGAATTTCTTCTTCACAACATTCATTCCACTCAAATATACAAACTCTTTTATTTTAAAAAGCAGCTTTAAGGAAGGCAAGTACTCTGTTTCTAAACAGCCATGTACTGGCAGGAGACTATATGCATATACACAGTGTAATGCAATCTGTAGTGGTTCAATGTCATTTTATATTGAAGGGGGCATCAAGAACTGAAAAAGCATTAAGCACTACAAGCAATACTCTATCCACTGAAGGAAAAAATAGAAGTAAAAGTCCACAATTATTTATAACTGATTAACATAATTGCTTCATACTCTGTAGAAATAACCTAGGAATTGTAAATCACGTAATTTCACAAATTTTGGCTCCATACCTTTAATCTAAACCTAATTCAAGCCTTCTCAGAAAGGTTCCTGTTACTTTTACAGAGTTTAAGTCATGGGCAGTCCAGAGAATGCATTTCAGCATCTGATAATGTAAGTGTTAGACTGAATTAAAGAAGCTAAATTCAGTTGGTGGCCAGTCACAAGTGGTGTGTTCCCCAGGACTCATAGTCAGTTCTCTTTATCAAGGATCTAGATGAAGGGATTGAGTGCACTCTTAGTCAGCTGGTAGAGTTGGGTGGGAGCGTTGATCAGCTGGAGGGCCAGAAGGTTCTGCAGAGGGATCTGGACAGGCTGGATCGATGGGACAAGAACAATACCATGAGGTTCATCAAGGACAAATGCTGGGCTCTGCCTATGATCCAGCAGTGTGCCCAGGTGGCCAAGAAGGCCACTGCATCCTGGCTTGTACCAGCAACAGTGTGGCCAGCAGGACCAGGGCAGGGATCGTCCCACTGTACTTGGCACTGGTGAGGCTGCACCTCAAATCCTGTGTTCAGTTTTGGGTTCCTCACTCCAAGAAGGGCATTCAAGTGCTGGAGCAAGTTCAGAGAAGGGCAATAGAAGAGCTGTGAAGGGTCTGGAGAGAAAGTTTTATTTGGAGCAGCTGGAGTTGTTCAGACTGGAGAAAAGGAGGCTCAGGGGGAACCTTATCACTCTATAACTACCTGAAATGAAGGTGTGGTGAGACAGGGATCAGTGTCTTCACCCAAGTAAAAAGCAGTAAGACATCAGGAAATAGCTTCAAGCTGCCTTAGGGGAGGTTCAGGTTGGATAGAATGAGAAGTTTCTTCACTGAAAGGGTGATTAACACTGAAAGGGTGAAACAGTCTCCCCAAGGAAGTGGTGGAGTCACCATCCCTCAAAGTGTTCAAAAAATGAGTAGCCATGGGACGCTGTGATAAGGTGCACACCATGGGCATGGTGTTATTCAGTCAGAAGTTGGACTTGATGAACTTGGAGGTCATTTCTAACCTTAATCATTCTATGTTTCTATGACTTCGGTGTTTTCAACCCTTGAATTAACAATTTTCAAGCAGTCACCTTACATTTTTATAGTATGTTATATATATATATATATATATATATATATATATATATATATACACTTTAGATATGTCTTTCAAATTATCTTTAAAGGACTTGTGAAAACCAAATTTTAAAATTTTGAACAAAAATGCAAAACCATTTGAAGGACAGGCTACCAATTTCAAACCACTCCAACCTGCATTTCCACATTTAGAAATGCAGCTACAAAAGACAAAAACTAACAAATGGAATGAAAGTAAACTAAAAAAGAAACAGAATATTAACAGTTCCAAATGAATGAGTATAAGCTAAGGTAGACCAAGAACAATACTAGAAATAGTGTGGGGCAGATCCAGAAGACTTATGCTTTCCCTAAGGCTTTGAATGGGCCACTAATCACTTCCTTTCTATTAGACATCATAGTCATGCATACAGTGATAAATTAAGTAATTCACATGTAACATAGCAAGTATATTGCACTTATGCATATCTTCTGCTTGGGTACATCAGTTTTCTTGAATGACACTCTTTAGTGTGTGATTTGTTTTACGCACATTTTTCAATGCCTAGATGGCAGAGATACCATGTAACAAACAGATCATACATCCTTTTACCTTCATAAATAGTTCACTGAGGTAAAAAACCGTAATAAAGAGACCTCACAAACATGTACTGTGTAATATTCTCACTCTGTTCTGGTTTCATCACTAGTAGAATTTCAAAAGTGAAACTTCCACAGTTAACACTGGTTAAGTTTGTTATTCTTTTTTTGTGGAATGATAGGTTTGAATTACTTTTAATAGAACACCAAAGATTGTTAACAGTGTTAATGAATTGCCACTATGTGTCAAAAGGCCCATCTTGATAAAAACCTGGTTATTTATTCCTTACCTTAAACTTACCTTACCAGTAAACCTTAAAGGTTTACTGTTCTCTACCTGGCAATAATCATCATAATTCAGATTTTCAATACATTTCAAATACTGGAACACCTTAATAGCAAAGCATATATTAATATACTACTCACCAATTTTAACCTTTGCAAAGGTATTCTGCTAGTGTCTATCGGAGTACGCTCTGTGACATTACCAAATCTGACTTCTGGGATGGCAACTGCACATATTACATGTGCCCACCTGTGAAAAGTGGCAAGTCAAAAACACCACCAAAAAAACCCATAGAAGTACTAGTGTTTAAGGTGTTTCATTACTTGCTGTGTGTTTGGTTTTTGCTTTATTAGGCTTTCTCAACTTTTTCAAAACATTTTAGCAAACTTTACAACACCATCACTTCATTTAAATATAATTTCAGACTGAGGTTTTGTTGCAGCATTTTTTTAAGCATCTTTCACTTTCTATTAAGTGCACAGTTTTCACAGTTGTGCTATTCAGGTATGTATGTAAAGACCACGCTATTTGGTTCATGAGTAATTTATCACTTACAGCACTTTGCATTAACATTACTCAGATCTGAGTAACTTTTTGTAGGCAACACACATGATCACAATCAGTCATATATCTACTGAAATGCAAAACAAAGTATACTATCAAGATATTCTGTTTACAGACACAAAGGCATAAAAGCAGTAAAGTGATAAGGCTATCAGTGCAATGCCCAACACGAACTGGAACCCCTTTAGCAGTTAAAGCACCTGCAAGTGCCTAGGACCAATGTTACATGCAAGACTTCAGCGCAACTTCAGGAAGTTTGTCAGATCATTCTATGTGCTTCCTATATTCATCAGAAAGCACTGCTATTATCCTCCAGATTCTGTTTCAATACATAAATATCAGAATACGAAAGGCTAAATGAAACTTTGAAAAGTCTGAAATTATTATTGAAAGTGTATGTTTCATGGAATAAAAGAGAAGCTAATGACATTCTTAAGAGACTACTTCTAAAATATTTTAGGGGTACACAAGTAGTAAATCTGAAGAAAGGAAAACATTTCTATTGTTTGACTCATATTTGCCTTATTCCCTGTCATTCCCTGTACATCTGGTTTCATTACCCCATTTCCTCTATTTCTGTAATGCTTGTTTCACTTCCCTTTCTATATATCTCCAAGAGACACACCTTATTTCAGCATCTTAGCAGACTAACATCAGAATGTGGGCTGAAGCTGAAGGAGATGGAGGGTGATGCAGAAAATAGAAATAATTTCTCTTCCTACACTAGAGGAGTAGTATTTCAAAGAAGTCATCTTTGACAAAAACATCTAAAAAAGTACGACACTCAGCAACTAAATATAAACTGCTGTCATGTGACTTCAAAGTTGTATTTGTCAGAGTGTGAAATAACAGCTGCATATAAAGATGACATATCAATTAGCAAGTTATAAATTCAGCCCAAATAAAAACAGATAAAGCTTACAGATCCATCATTTTATTACGGCAACAGCTTTGTTCATGTTTTAACTTAAAGAAAAGAGTCCCGCTTTAGGACTTTTAAAAATTTTTAAAAACACCCGTTTTCTTTTCATTGCTGCCTGCCCAACTGCTAAACTACGGTCTTACCATTTAAGTTTTATGGGACAGAAATGTTGTAAATAAAATGCCTCTTCAATCAATCTTTACACAAACATTTATACTCTGACATCTCTCAGCCTAACAGACCCAAAATAATTGCTGTGTTCTGCTGAAAAGAAGTAATCTCAACTCTCCTATATGATAAATTGTTTCCTGCACACACATATACCACGTTTGATACATTAGCTTTTAAATTTAAGTAATACTCATCCTATATCTCTCATCACTATGTAAGCAGAAAAGAAGGAGCTAAGGGAATGCACGTTAGATTTTACACTTGTTGGAGAAAAAAGCCATACTTTTGACATACTTTTCTGAAAAACTCAAAATCTTGGAATGTTAGCTAAATGCTGAAAGATAGCTGAAAAACTCTACAATGTGTAACAGCTATAAGGTATTATGGAAACAGGAAAACAGGTGTTGAACTGCTATTACAGAAATCCCATTTCATAAATCTGTAACACTAACCTGTAGAGTGACAGAATGTAAAGCCAAAGATTTTATGTATTGTTATGGAAAAAAAGTCACTTTATGTAAACCTCTGTGGATTTTTTCAATTAATAAATCTTATGAAATATTTGGAAAAATTTTCAATTGGTCCACAAAAAAAGATATACATATTTTCAAAGAAGCAACCTGTCAGCAGCAAATATTAAAAAGAGCATGATAAATCCTACTGAGATACTTCTGTCACTTCCTTTTTTTTTTTTTTTAGTTGTTTTTTTGTTTGTTTGTTGAATAAAGTAAGTATCAAATTTAGGGGAATTTAAACTAAAATTCAGCTGAGAATTTTCATGTACTGGCCAAAACCTCCACTGGAATGGTTACAATATTATTTTTTTTGCAGGTAAGATATGGCCTGAGTTTCACATAAAAGCTTCTCCTAACGGAATAATTTACCAGAGTCATGCAACCCAATGCAAATCACTGATAAATAAATTCTTTCCTGCTAAGCAAAAAAGAATCTTGCACCAAGATCATGGCTTACCACTGCATTCCAAAGCATTAAAGAAAGAGTCTACATGATGCTGCTAAGCTACTAAAATAATCTAATTAATTATGAAATTCTAAATGCACAAAGACTGTTGTACGACTGGGCTCGACAAAATATTAAGCTGACACATTTTCCCCTTTATCTGTTAGGGTAACTTGCTATAGTGTTCTGTCATCCAGATGCAATAAAAAATATTGATTCTGTTAATAATACAATGTCATCAATAATACTATTTTTGACAGTGTGTGATATAAATGTATTTGAATAAAAAAGGAACAACTTCAGAATTGAAAATTATTTCAATATGATTAAATAACTGAAAATACTGTTCTTAGGAGTTCAAAGTTACTGTATGGTAGTTTTCAGGAGCAAAGAGGAAAATACACTTTGCTGTTTAGTAAGACTTCCCCATGCAAACAGGTATAAATGAGGTTTCATTTACTTTCTTTACACAAAGGCCAGTAGATTAAAATTTGGAACAAGCAAGTGCATGCAAATACTAAAACAAACGTACATTTTACTATCTATTTCACAAAATGCCAGCGGCACATTTGAATAGCAGTAATTTTAGTTCTGCAATGATTCAGCTTCAAGGGAAACTGTCAAGTAATTATATTTACAAATGCTTTGCACATGGGAATTGATTGGGAATAAAGTTAAAAATAAGCACATAAAAAAAAAATATTACTTACTTTTTGTCAGTAGTTTGCTTTAATGCACCACCTCTCAAATTGCAGAGACAACATTCCTAAAAATAAATATAGTGCAGGAAAAAAGTTAGCATTATTTCCTGTTTAAAAATCAGTTTAATTTAGCTGATCTTGAGGATAAGCAAATTGTTAATGTAATTAACTACTGGGACAAAAACTGCCACTTATAAGCATGGCATTTCCTTACAAGGCAGAAAAAAGGATACAGTAACAAAAAGAGAACTCCTATAAGCTAAAGAAAAAATCTTAATCATTAAAGTGTTAATCCTAAATGAAGTGACATAATCACTTTGAAAGTGATACTAAATAAAAAAAAAAAACAAACGCAAAAAAACCAAACCATAACAAAAAAAATAAAAGTAAAAAAAAACTTTTAACATTATAAAGGTAAAAAGAAGTACTACAGCACATAATTAGTTTAATAGAAGTTACTGAGAAACTGACCCATAAGCTATTGATCCAATTCAATTTTTTTTCTTTTTCTTTTGCTGCAGTATACCTTCACTGCTTTGATCATTAGTAAACTCCAGCTCTTTCAGGGCACTCAGCAAGGTGTTTCAGTGGTTCCCAGATAATATGCCAAAAATCATGGCTTTTCCTACCTCTACTTAAAACTGAGCCTTTGAACCAATACAGTCTTTTCTACTTTTCAACTCTTCACTTCCTCTCTTCAGTCTCCTCCATTTCTGAATCTATTCGTTCCCTTTTTCATTTTTTTCCCCCTTGTCCCTTGATAAAAGCTGATGAGAAAGTATTTCCAATGTTTTTTTTTTTTCTTTCCTGGATTTCTGTCTCTACAAATAACCAAGTGTACAAAATGGAGTCAAGATATACTGTGACTGTATATCTCTATGTGAGCCTCTACATTTAAGATGCCCTTGCAGGAGAAAAAAAAGCCATGCAAACAAACAGATAAAATTAAACTAAAGCAAAACTCCGTCTGACCTTACTTTAAACATTCCAATAATGACAACTACCAATGTCTGCCAGAAATCTAACTGAATGTTATATTACATTTCCTATGAAAATAACCTTTCCTAAAGAAAAACCAAACAAAAAACCCAAACCAAAACAAACAAAACCAACAACAAACACAAAAAATCCAAACAACTAAAAAACCCCACTGCTTTCTTGTGACATTTGGGTCTTTGCAATTTAAGCACACAAAATTTGCCTTATGAACCAAACCCATGGAGAGCAGGTAAACCATCCTGATACAGAGTACCCTTTCAACTATTTAATATTATTGTAGAGTTTTAATGAAGTGAATTGAGGTTAATTATTTTTTCCACAGCAACCTTAGGATGGGAACTAACACATTCCAGATCACAGTTTTCTTTGTAAAAGTAAACATTGACTATTAAATCAGGAAACCCAAAGGCTCAGAACACCAATTAAAAGGGGATTGAGCAGTAACAGATACTTTCAGCATATAAAGAAAAATTGAGTATTACAGGGCTGCTGTTGCAGTACTGCTTATAACATCTGGTAGCCTTTTCAAGAGAGAAACAGCTCAGATGGAGGACATCACTGCATAGGAGTCCTCCATTCAGCTGCTGGAGAAGAAGTAAAACTGTTCCTTTCAGGAACAATATTGCATATAGCTGCATCTTTGTCAGGTTCTCTTGCTGCATCTTAGGAAACCTGTTCTACTATCAAGTACAACACAAGAGAGAAGGTCATTGGGAGTGGAGGGGCAGTGAAGAGAAACACAGATTTATTAAGGTTGGAGAAGACCTCCAAGATCATCAAGTCCAACCATTAACCTAACACAAGGTCCACCACTAAAACAGGCCCCTAAGCACCACATCAACATATCTTTTCAGCACTTCCAGAGATGGTAATTCCACCACTTCCCAGACACACCTTGAGGTCATTTCTTCTTCTATTGCTCGTAACTTGGGAGAAGACCCCAACCCCTATCTCACCAAAACCTTCTTTCAAGAAGTTCTAGAGAGCAGTAAGGTCCCCAACAAGCCTCCTTTTCTCCAGGCTAAACAATTTCAGCTCCCACAGATGCTCCTCATAGAGCTTGTGCACCAGACCCCAGTGTTGAGCCCTGGGGAACACCACTGGTGACAGGCTGTCAGCTGGATCCAACTCCATTCACCACCACTCTCTGGCCTGGCCATCCAGCTGTGTTTTTACCCATCCAAGCCATGAGCAGTCAGTATTTCCACAAAAGTGCTGTAGAAGACAGTGTCAAAGGCTTTACTAAGGTCCAGGCAGACAAAATCCACAGCCTTTGCCTCATCTACTAAGGGTGTCACCCTATCATAGCAGGAGATCAGATCAGTTTATCTCAAGTTTCATTATTTGAATAATGATGAACTTTTCCTGCTTCTAATAAGTACATTTCACTTTTGAGAAAAACCTTCATCTGATCATCTGCTGTATAACTTATCAATGCAACTAGACCGAGAAGTCATGGCCCTGAAGAAATTCCACAAATAAATTAAGCTAAAATTGCACAGGAAATTTAGGCAGAAGGTAGAAGTCATAATCTGTACCTACTAACTACGGACCTTCCATGTTAGGGGGAAAAAAAAAGGGGAGGGGAAAAAAAAGAAAAAAATATAAAAAGAGATTAAAAAGGGAGGCAAGGACAGCACAGAGGAAAGAAAAGGTGACTATAAATATCCTCATTAAAAGGTAGAAAACTATTACCCTTATGTAGGACCGCCAGGAACCAAATTTAATCTCCTCTCACAAACCACTCATAAAAATCTTTAGAGAGAAGGAAGTGGTGGTGGATTCACAGTTATTCACTGCCTGCTGGATACAGGCTACAAGAAATGAGATTCCTAAAAACTTGTAAATTTCATCAGTGTTCACACCAAACCCAGGTGGGTAGAACCACAGGCTTAAAGCCCATTAAAACTACTTTTGTTTATCATGGCTGCACTGCAATACGTTGTCCCATGTTCAGGCAACACGGCTATTACTTTAACTCCAGTTTCAACATACTGCAAGCAGTGAAAACTCAGAGGATCTGATATTTACAAAGACTAATATTCCTAATAAATGTATATTTATCATGGATGGCAGTGAAATCACACTAGCAACTATTACCCATGTCATTATCCATGAAGGACATAGATCTGTTGGAGCTGGTCCAGAGGAAGGCCACAAAAGCAATCAGAAGGCTGAAGCACCTCACCTATGAAGGTTGAGAGAGGTGGGGTTTTTCAGCAGGAAGAAGAGAAGGCTTCAGGGAGACCTTATTATGGCCTTTCAGTAGTTAAAGGGAGCTTTTAAGAAATATGGGGACAATAATTTTAGAGGGGGTAATAGTTTTACATTCAAATGAGCTATAAGGAGAAAGTTTTTTACAATAAGGGTGGTGAAACACTAGAACAGGTTGTGCAAAGAGGTGGTAGATGTCCCATCCCTGGAAACGTTCAACGTTAGGTCATACAGGACTCTCAACAACCTGACCTAGTAGGAGATATCCCTCCTTATGGCAGGGGATTTGGAATAGATGACCTTTAAAGGTCCTTTTCAACACAAACTATTCTGTGATTCTGTGATTCTATGTTCTCACAGAGAAAGAAACCATCTATGCATCCCAGTGTGTCTGCTGTCAACCTGTATGTAAAAATCAGGATAGGAATGGATTCCATTATAAAGCACCACCGTATAACATATCCAATCTCTGATTCATTACTACTTTGCAAATCCTTTAAAGAAGTAATTTTGTCATTTGTATTTGCATTAAATAATAATTTCTTAAGCATATTACTTTATACTTATCTAAATTAAATCTTAGACCATTTAAAATTGCTCATCTCCTTTAAAAATCTCCATAACATTCTAGAATTACAAGAGAGTTTTCTTTCTTCCAGTATCTGTATAAAATAAGACATCTCCATACAATTTGCAAACTTTAGTACAGCAACATCTATTTCATCTTTCAGCTTTTTAGTGGAGATGATGCATTTTTTTTAATAACAATACAGATTATATCCAATGTTTCTCGACTAAATGCTTTCCCTTGCATACTATGAAACACTTTTGCAATCAGCAATCCTAATCTGGTCTACTCATTTCTCTGTTTCAATCACTTTTGTAGACTCAGCTGTGAAAACTCCCCTCCAAGGAAGCACCAAGACATTCACACATAGCTATAATAGGCAGCTGTAACAACTTAGGCCACCAAAGATTCATGAACTATCCTGTGACTCACAGTATTACACCATCCACTGTAAAACTTCCCACTGCAGGATACCAGGCATTACCACCTGAACCTGAGCATATATAAGTCATGAAATCTTGGAGCTTTGTGGACTTCCCCCACGAGATCAAGACCATCACTTCCACAAGACTGTGACCAGCAGATATCAGAACTGCAACTACCAAGTCAAATTGCTGGATCCAATGGGCAGTAACTTTCTACCTTTATGTTTTCTTTTTCTTTTCCCTACCCGTTTTCCTAAGTGTTATTTTTATGTTTTAATATTGCTGTATTATTGTAGATAATAACAAACAAAAGAACTTCATACCTGTTTTCCTTTGCAACCAAATTGTTCTAAGACAAATCCCACATATATATATATATATATATTTATAAACACTGATCATTCAGTGTCACTTCATTCTAATCTGCTCCAAGGGATCTATTAACAAGAACCTGGGTTACCCTTGCTTACTAGTGCAGTTCGTAACACATGGATAAATACTACAAAAACCCAAGCCTTTCCTCATTCATTTATATTTTAAAATGAATGCATTAGGTTATCTTTGAATATTTTTTATAGTGTGCCAAAATTCAAAGTCATATTGACAGTAATGTATATAAAAAGCAGTTTTCACACTTCCATATTTGCATACTTACTTCATCAGCAATAGCACTCCGTATGACAGGAAGCTGCCTGACGCAGCAAGGCAATAGAATTCAGCCAAGCCATAGCAGAGGGACATGCACTAAGTTATCTAATGGTTATTTTTATGGAAAACTATGAACCTGCACCACATGATCCCCTTTCTTGTTAAACTCCTGTATCTCCTTTTGTCTCAGGCCCAGTAAATTGCAATGTCA